ATGTTCGTTTGTTAAGGTAAACGAACCATTAACAAACAAAATTTAGAGCTTGGTTAATAAACGAACAGAGTTTAAACAGTTGTATGTTCGTTTGCTAAGAGATCGTGAACAAGCTCGTTTGTGTTCATTTAATAATGTTCGTGAATAACTTCATTTGTGTTCGATCAATAATGTTTGTGAACAAGCTCGTTTAGTGTTCGTTTAAATAATGTTCACAAACATGTTCACAAATATATATACATAGATTATAATTGTAATCATGAACATTCATAGACAGAGCCAAAGGTGGGGCAGGGGGGTCAGCTGCCCCCCTTCACCCCACCTCCACCCCCACCCCTACCCTACTCCTACCCCTACTCCATATATAATTTTTGTATGTATGTATGTGTATATAGTAATTTTTGAGTATTAGTATATAAAAACTTTTAATTGTTCATAAGAAATGAGTTAAATTAGTTGGTAGAGCATGCATTTGGTTATAATAAAGGTTAGGTGTTTGAATCATATAGTTTTTTGGCTCCTTCCCTATGACTCTAACACAATCACGTTTTAATAGTTCTTTTAATATTTGATACACACATGCATATATATATATTTAAATTATTTTATCAAATTAATTATGTTTCATATTTTGATATGAATATTTTTATAAAGTTTCGATTTGTTATATTTTTCGCCCATATCCAATAATATTTACACCTATATTTCTTAGGTAATTTATTTATTTATTTTTAAATATCTCTTTTATTTTAATGTTTTGCCTTTACTGAAAAAAATTTGTGAATCGGTCCGTATTTCGCCCCCCCCCCCCCCCCCTCAATAAAATTTCTGGCTCCGTCCCTGTGAACGTTGATTATTTTTTGAATGTAAATTATTTGTTGTTCACGAATTAATTGTGATCATGAACATGTGTAAGTGTTTGGTTATTAAAGGTTCACGAACCTGTTCATGAACGTAAACCAACATGTTCGTGAACATGCTTGTTAACTAACATGTTTGTGAACGTTAACAAACATGTTTGCGAACATGTTCGTTAACATAAACGAACACGTTCGTGAGCGTGTTCGTGAACGTTAACGAACACTAATGAACGCTTAACAAACGAACACAAACAGGATTTTCAAAAACCTTAACAAACGAACACTCCAAAATTCTTAACAAACGAACACGAATAACCTCCTTTCGTTTATACTTAGTTCGTTAACAGCCCTACCTGCATAGGACAGGCAAATTATGCAGTGGATAAGGTGGACATGGTTTCAAAAGAGTTCATAATTATGAATATATAATTCAAAAATTATGAACATATAATTTTATAATTATAAACATAGAGTTGTGAACATAATTATGAACTAATTATGAATATAGAGATTCAATAATTGTGAATATGAAGTTCAAAAATTATGAATCTTTATGATTATGAACATATAGTTCTGTAATTATGAACATAGAGTTTAATAATTATGAATGTAGAATTTAATAATTATGAATATGGAGTTCAAAAATTATGAATATATACCTTTACAATTATGAACATATAGTTCAGTAATTATGAATATAGACAAGGTGAATACGAATCCACAATATAACAATTGCGTAGGGAAAATTATATCGTGCACAAGGTGCACAATGCATTGTGTGCCCTAAGAGTTTATTTGTATTATGTTGAGAGTTTATGTGTTTTACGTTAAGAGTTTATATGTATTATTTAAAAGTTCATATGTATTATGTTAAGATTATGTGTATCATGTTAGGAGTTTATGTGTTCTATTATACATTATATACATAGTTACATCCGAAATAAGGGATTTCTAGGTGCACGATATAATAATTGATCAATAATTATTGCGTAGACCATGGTCTACGCAATTGTGTGGACCATAAATAAAAAGTACATTTTTAATATACTAAGGGTACATTATTTATGTACGTAGAGTACATTTTTTGAAAATATATTTTTAATATACTAAAGGTGTATTATTTTATATAATGTACTTTCGGGACAAAAATAATATATTTTTAGTATATTAAAAATGTATCTAATAATCATGGTTCATACAATAATTGATTGCGTAGGACATCATCAATTCACCTTATTCTCTCTTGTCTTATTGGATTCTTGTGGGCTTGTCTAGTAGGCTGTTTTATTTTAAGCATTCTGAACCTTGGGCCATTAAGGGGTCGTTTACTAACTGAAAATTTTTGAAAATTTCCAGAAACTGAAAAATAGAAAACAGAAAACATGTTTACTAACACAGTTTTCCATTTTGAAAACTGAAAATAATTTTTGGAACACACTCAAAACCTGTTTACGAAATGGAAACAGAATCATCTATCATCTATTTAGTTATATGTCACTATAACCACATTACTATGATTACATTCATTATCATCTTATTTTACTTATCACTGTCTTCTATCTTTTCTATTTACTTTACTTATTTAAAGATAATTTCTTTGCTTCCACTTTAAAGTTAGACATTATTTAAATTATCAAAATTAAGAATTAAACTCTATATAATGTTTTAGATTTTGATTGAACTCAATAGATTATTGGTTTAAATATTTTTAATTATGTTACATCATAATACAAGTTCGGTCCGGATATCGGATATTGAAATCTCACATATATTAGAATTCAAAGTAAAAGTTATATATTCATATACATGTATTCAAATGAATATATCCAAAAAAAAAAATATATTTTAAATATTAGCTCAAAAAATATTAATATTATCTAAACTAAATTTTAGATGAAATTTAAAAAATTAGAAAACAGAAAACAAAGAACAGTTTTCTTGAGTTTTCTAAACAGAAAATAGAGAATGAAAACTCAAAAATTAGAAAATTATTTTCTGTTAGTAAACGGACCCTAAGCTTTTTATTTATTTATGGAATAAGGGTCAAATAAGCCATCCAACTACACACTAAAATGTAATTAGGTCACTAAACTCAAAAAACTTACAATTGGGTCCCTGAAGGCCTGAACTGCACAAATTTATGCAATTTAACCGAAAATAACTTGTTTACCTATTAATTTGATGACGTGTCGGTTCCTTTATTTAAAAATAATTTTTAGAATTTTATTTTAATAATAAATAAAAAATTTAAAAACATTAAAAAAAATTAAAAAAAAAAAACCCTTCGTCTCCGGGCAGCCAACCAGGGAGACGAAGGGTCCCCTTCGTCTCCGGCCGCTATGAAGACGAAGATTCGTCTCCTGCCGGGCCATGGAGACGAAGTCTCCTTCGTCTCCAGCCGGCCATCGTCTTCATGCCGGTCGGAGATGAAGGGGACCCTTCGTCTCCGGCGGGCTGTTTTTTTTTTTTTTTTTTTTTTTTTTTTAAATTTAAATTAATTATTTTATTTATAATTATTAAAATAAAATTTTAAAAATTAATTTTAAATAAAAAAAAATCGATACGTCATCACATTAACAAGTAAACAAGTCATTTTAGGTTAAATTGAATGAATTTGTGTAGTTCAGGGACCTAATTGTAGATTTTTTGAGTTTAGTGACCTAATTGCATTTTGGTGTGTAGTTGGATGGCCTATTTGACCCTTATTCCTTTATTTATTAAGCAACAAGCCCTCTTGTGAATATTATTTCAATCAAGATATAAAAAGGTGAATGTATATAATGTTTCCAAATCACCAACAAAATAAATTAATTAAATAAATAGGTGAAAAGTACAAATTAAATATTTACTTTAAATAACCTACCTAAATTACCAAAGGTTTCAAACTTAGTCAAAAACCTCAAAGTGTAGAAATAATACTACTATTTGAGAGTACATTTAAGATTTTTTATTTTTATTTTTTGGATAGGGGTGGAGTATATAATTTCTGACAAATTATATGAAGGCTTGCCTGTAGATGAACAGAAGCTGTGGCATTCTCATGCTTATGAGGTTTGTAATTACTTAATTATTAATATACTGTAATTAGTTCTCCCACATTATTTATTTGGAAATAAACTGTATTTTCAAATGGAAATTAAACAAAATAATATTGAGGTGTCCAGATCAAATCAGGATTGTGGGTGAACCCTAGAATCCCAGAGATGTTGGGTAGATCTGAGCTTGAAAATCTTGCCAAGACCTATGGCAAATTCTGGTGTACATGGCAGACTGACAGAGGTAAGTAATGATCAAACTTCAGGTGAAATAATGGTAATAATAAAGAAATTTTATTATAAAAAAAGGAAAAAAACTCAAAAAAGTACTTTTCTATTTTTAAAATTTTTTACTGTTATAATGTAGTATCGGTTCATATCCATTATCTCAGCCTATTGAACCACAAAAAGTCAATATTGCTCTCATTAGAATTCAAACTCATGACTTTTTATTTAAGAGAATCACTTAATGTCATTGGCCTCAAAAAGTACTTAAGTGAGGACTTAATTGCATATTTGATTGATGTAGAAGGCTTATGTTATATATGTTTTTTAAGCAGGTGATAAGCTTCCTATAGGGCTGCCATCGCTAATGATGTCTCCCCAGGCAGTAAATCCAGGGATAGTGAAACCGGAGCTAGTTGAGAAGAGGGATAACAAATACAACATATCAACCAACAGCCTAAAGGAATCCCGGTTGGAGATAGCGGAGCCGGAGTGGATTAATCCTCAGGCGGATTACTGGAAACAGCACGCCAAGGGTTTCATCGTCGACGTACAACAGACTGAGATGAAGAAGAGGGAGGGCATTCAGTTTCCATGATCGATACATAATCCAGCTTTGCTAATAATCTAAGCCTCATATATAAATATGTAGCTCTCCATCATAAATAAGCCTCATATATGCATGTTTCAGTAATAAATTTGTATGGATTAGAGGTGGGATGTTATTCGTCAAACAAATTAAGTTAATAATTAGTTTCTTTCGGGGCATTTGCATGCTACATTTTTGTGAAGTATGAAATGGTAATAAAAAAAAAAATCTCGATTCTCAAAGGACCAATAACTTGAATTTTGGGGGTGTTGAAACACAACACACATACAATTTTACAAAGTGGAAAATATAAAATAATAGCATTATACATGCATGTCATATATCACAACTATTTCACAAAAGCAAAACATACTAGCAAGAGTGGAGATCGAGACAAACAATATTGAAAATAGGAAAGCAGTGCATATTCTGAAACTCACAAGTGGTGGTGTGTAAGTACAAATCTATGCTGGTTTTGAGTTGTTGTGCTGAAATAAATGGTTTCCCAAAGGAATTAAATCAGCTTGCACCATCACTTGTGAGTTTGTGAAAGCTCGTTTAATTCTTTTGGGAAACCATTCATTTTAGCAGATCAGAACAACTGAAAAGCAGCATGGATTTGTAGTGTTGTTCTTCAATTCAAGCAGTGCTGCTGGGAGAAGCAGAAACGCTGGTGTCTGTCATCCCACCCCTTGAAGTGCTCCTCGATTTTGAATGGTGAGTTGTGGAAATCTCACCATGTGGTTGAGTTTCTCTGACAGAAGATTGCTGCTTTAAACTTTCCTTTAGATCCTTCAATGGAAGCTGTTCTTTTAAAACCTTGACAACTTGAGACATGGTTGGTCTTTGATCTGGGTACTGGTCCAAGCACAGCAATGCTAGTTCTAACATTGTATCTGCTTGATTCCAATCCATTGTGTTCGATATGGTTTTGTCAACTAGATTCATAAAATGCCCTTCTCTCTGCTTTTCACGTGCCGCCTGCAATCAATCATATGATAACATTACTCACAACGACTAACCGTGCAATGATATAATTAATTAAGTTTGAGTCCTCACGAGATCTGGAAGGTACTCGGTGTCAGCCCCACTGCTAGACATTGAAATCTTTTCTTTCTTTCCACTAACAACTATAAGTACAACAACTCCAAAGCTATACACATCTGCCTTTGTTGTTAAGAGGTCATATTTTGCGTATTCAGGTGCCATGTATACCCTGCATATCCATCAGAATGCATGCTTTCAAGTGAGAACCTATTAATTGGTTATTTGATTGGTTACTTATTTACAAGTTTGAGAAAGATTGGGACATATATGGTTGTCCAAAAAAATAATTACACTGTTCCTTCCTCGCGTGACTTTCCCTGGTCATGGAGCCTGGAAAATCCAAAGTCAGATATCTTAGCATTGTCATGTTTGTCAAGAAAAATGGTGGTTGGTTTGATATTTCCATGAACATTTTTTTGCTTGCCCTCATGAAGAAAAGCTAGACCTTCTGCTATGCCAAGGCAAATGTTGCACCTTTTTGGCCAATCTAATCTCGACCTGTCTGAACCTGTGAGGAAACACTAGTGTTGTTTATTGCTAATAGACAATAGATATGCTAAAGTAATCGATTGAAGATTAAAAAAAAAAAAACTTGAGTATGAAGCTAAGGCGGTAGAGATGATGGATAAAGACAGTACATACCAAAAAGTGCATTTTGAAGGGAATTATGGCCTATATCCTCATAAACAAGCAACAGTTGGTTCTTCTCTGCAATGCATCCCATGAGCTTTACAAGGTTGGGATGTTCCATGAGAGAAATTGTAGAATCCTTTTCTCGAAATGCACGTATTATATCTTTTGTGGCTGAAACCTTTTCAACTGCAACCACCGTTCCATTGCCGAGTGTAGCCTGAATATATTAAAGTTAAGTAGCTAACAATATAATCACACTTGTAGAAAATGTACTGTATGTTAAAGAGAATTTCATTTTATTTAGCTTGAACCAAAACTAACCTCATAGAAAGTTCCAAAGCCACCCTTACCAAGCTTGTGCTTGAAATTTTTGGCAGCAACTTTTACTTTTTGGAAGTTGTAAAGTCCTCCAGGATACAACTCAACCATTCCTACACAAAAAATCGATGGAATAAATGCATGGGACAGTATAATCAATTGTTTAAGAAGTTGAAGTTACCTTCATGTGAATTGTCTTCCATCTTCCATAAATAAACTATGAACACTACTAGAAGGATTAAGACAGATAATGAGATTGCAGCTATCTTTGGAGGAGATAGGCCGCTCTCTTTAGCTGGATCAGGAATTGGTATCAAGAAACATCATATAAGAATAATAGTAGGATATAATTGAAATGGTGCACTAGTAGTTAAAGGACAAAATAAACAAGTATATATGACTTACAAGGATATACAGAAATTGCAGATATAAGTGGACCTTGGTACATCATTGAACCCTTCCCTGACCAATATAAATGAATCTCCAATCGACTATCATTGTTAACTCTAACATTTTCTATTTCCACAGTGTAAGCCTTATTTACACCCTCTGCTTCCTTTTCTATGTTGAAATCCTTAAGTTCATTCTTTCCCTGCAATCATAATCACCTTTCAACATTATATTCCAGTTTGTCAGCATATATATATATATATATATATATATATATATATATATATATATATATATATATATATATAAAATCAAATGAGACCACCTCTTCCCTTGAGTCCCTTCATAAATGCACAAAAGCTACTACAAGAATGCACTACATACAAACTAGATTGTGTGCAATTCGCCGTGCATAAATGCACACAATCTACCCTGTGTGCATTTATGAAGGGTCTCACAGGACTCAAGAGAACTTGTGGATACACTTGAACATTAGTTTATTTATATATAGTGCAATATATGCTTGTATTGGTAGTTGTACCATATATATATACCTGGATATCCACATCAAAAACTCGACCTGATTTGTTGACATATGGGGTTTTATAGTTGTTGTACCTAACTAATTCAGCAAAGTGAAGTCTCACAGTATATTCACCATCCCTTAAACAAAATCCATAATACTTCAAGGAGATTGGGGATACACGTGCTGTACTGTAAAGAGGTTCATCACCAACACCAACAATGCATGTATTGTTCATTATGTATACGTCATCTGTTACTAAGTAGGATCCCATACTACTATAACCCCATGTTGAATTGCTACTCAGAAAGAAAGTTGAACTTCCATTTGAATTCAGATCGCCTTCATAAAAACTTCCATTTATATTCATTAAGTCACCACCACAATTTATGAATAGACGGTCTTTTACTGCAATGGAAAAAAAATAATTTAAATGTCATTATATTTGAAATAAATGTTTCAGTTAGGTAGGAGGACCAGTGTCCCGTGCTCACAAGAAGCCCACCACATTGGTGTAACTCCCACACTGTGACGGAGCTTTATGTTGTGCAACCGTGTACATCATGCAAGGTGCATACAGAATTGGATCCATAATTTCTATACTATAGATCCATAATTTCTATACTGTACATTCATAGTTTTTATAAACATATAGTTTAGTAATTTGTTAATACAGAGTTCAACAATTGGGAATATGAACATACATAGAGTTTTGTAATTATGAATATAGAGTTCAATAATTATGAATATATAGTATAGAACTTAAGGATATAGTATAGAAATTATGGATCCAATTTCGTGTGCACCATACATAGTGCACACGGTTGCACAGCATAATTTGCTCTTATGTGTCTTTGTCCACAAATCACCACCCAAGAACCAACTGATCTGCTCCGGCCTTTTATTACTAATATACTTACATTGGTATTTTAGGTCGCTGCTACAGTTATAGCCAACTTCTTCCCAATATGTACCCCTAAAATATCAAAATGAACACAAAAACAAGATCATGCACTTCAAAATTAAAACCAACCAACCCATTTACATTTTAGTGTTTTTTGAGGGGAGGAATAAGTGTCAACCAAATGAAGAGGAAGTGTTTACCCGTCACTGGAATTAAGGGATGAGAAAAAGTTCCTGCAATAGAAATTAAAGATCCAAAGTATGGTTGATTTGCAAAGTATGAAAAATAAAAACATCTAGGGATGGAAAACGCATAATAAAGAAAAGCATAGTCGATTAGAAATTCTCACAGGTTAGATGAGTTTGAATGCAGTTTTTCAATTTGTGCGACATTGTTTGTGAAAAAATTTTCAGACACATCGCTGCGTTAAATGAAAAGTAAACAATAAGTTAAGAACAAAGAATTACACACTTGAGAAAACGGTAATGGCAATGCCTTTCTACACATTCTTGTCTCAATGGAATAATGAGATGAAAACAAGAACAAGTGATAACTGGGCCTAACACTTTCAGTTCAAATATTGTGGCCAAAATCGTCAGACACTACTGGAAATTATTGAATTTCCGACCGCCTGAAAGTGATCTTAAATCAAGTTGAAAGCAAAAAGTGGTCGGAAATAGCAACAAGGATTTTTTCGAATACTAAAAGTGGTCGGAACAAGGCTTTCAACTTAATTCAAGATTACTTTCAGGTGGTCGGAAATTTCAGAATTTCCAATATTGAGACATCAGCTTCAATTCTTTATTAATGCCGATTTTATCATAGCCAGAAAGTGGATATATATATATATATATATATATATATATATATATACACTCTAGATTCCAATATAATGGATCAAAACTCTTACACAATCCTTACTGTAGAATGTACACCATACTGTTAAGTTTTTTGTTTGGAATCCAGGCACTTACATATTCATAGTCGAATTCATTATCCATGTTGGAATTGTCCCATTGAGCTTATTTCCTCGGAGAAATCTGAAAAACAATTCAAATTAAGATTCTAGCAAATCTAGCTTGCTTTAATGCATAATGTATAGCAGACTCGACAATAAGAAATACAATATATATATATATATATATATATATATATATATATATATATATATATATATATAGTTGCGTTCTGGTGCGAATGGCGCGCCCAGGTGCAAAAATGCGAATGAATCCGCACGCGACACGTGTCTAGATCTATGTGCACATATTGTTATAACTAGGTGCATCTAAGCGAAAGTAGGTGCACTTGTAGGTGAAAGTAGGTGCACCCGATCAATGAGTGTTAATAAAGTAAAATTACACACACTTGTGGCGGAAAGTAGGTGCCGATAATGAATGTTAACAAGGCAAAATTACATGCACTAGTAGGTGAATGTAAGTGCACTTGTAGGTGCACTTGTAGTGCCTATTCGCATAGGAGTGCAACCATATATATATATATATATATATATATATATATGTTTTGTGAAAGAAATGGATATGATATGTCTATGTAAACTTGCTTACATGTGCATTGGTGGGACCAGGGTGGAATGATTTGGAATTTGACCAAACAAACTATTGAAACTCAAGTCCCTGAAGGAAAAAATATATAATGAAAATCATCAAAATTAAGCATGCCAAACTGTTCATAAGTGGTTTCATTCCAGAGAACTGAGAGCTAAGATCGAATTTTTTGCAATGATATGATATGATGCCTAGATAATAATTTAATTTGTAAATAACTCACAACAAATACAGAGCCGTTAGATTCCAGATGATGTCAGGAATAGGACCAGCAAGTGAGCAATTCCTCAATGTCCTGATCGAAAACAGGCAGATGAGCATCATATGTATATATATATAATAATAATATTTTTTTCATTATAGGTATATATATATATTAGGGTATAGTAGTAGCTTACAGATAGTTCAAGGAATGCCTAATTGTAAAATTAGGAAACTGCGACTCTCCTCCTCCAATTAAGTCGCTTACATGCCTGCACAATATATATATTTATACAAGATAAAAATTAAGACTTGTTTAAATAAATTTATTACAATAATTAAGCTCGCTTAGCTTGTTCACTCGATCTTACAAGTGGTCAACTTTTGTCAAGTTTGAAAATGCAGTAGCAGGGAGAGGACCTTCAAAATTATTTCCCAATAGAGACCTACTCAATCGATCAACAAATGAGGATCCATCCATCATAATATATATAAAACCACAATTAAGTTTCATCATATCAATTGCGTTTGGTGCATTCTAGGTATGTGTGTGTGTGTATATATATATATATATATATATATGCCTTACAAATATGTGAGGTTTTGTAGTTGTCCAATGAAATCTGGGATTGTTCCATTCAAGTTGTTCCCTTGAACATTGCTGAAGAAATAATTAATTAGCAGATCAAATCAGAGCAGAGCAAATGACTGATTAACTAAGTTGAAGAAATTAAGGCAAGCAAACCTTATTATATTATTTACATACATTGCATACTTACAGATATTCAAGAAGAAGTAGATTTTTAAGCTGATCGGGCAGAGGACCAGAGAGGTTATTGTTACTAAGGTCCCTGAATTAATATAAACCAGATATCGTATTAAAAATGTAAATAAATTTTTAAAAGAAATTAAATAATAAACCAGAAAGAATGCTTTGCCAGTCAAAGCCAAATGGGCTCTCTTGTATGATTTCAGGGGGTTACTACCCACCGGGTTATTCACCTTAATAAATATTGCTTTGCTTAAAAAAAAAAAAAACAGAAAGAATGAACAGGTTCTTGCCCATTAATTAATCGAATGAGTAAATAAATAAATAAATTATTAATTATATACTTACAGCGATGTTAAATTTACGAAGGAACCAAATTGAGTTTGAATTGAACCGCTAAATAAATTAGCGGATAGATTCCTGCAATGAAACTCATAAGTCATAAGTACATGCATTTCATATATAAGTACATATCCGGTATATATCTCCATTTATTTTATACCGTAGTTACTTAATAAACCTGCAATATCAACTTTATGAACTTGTAATAATAAACGGATTGACTTAATGAACTTATATTTGTGATTTAATGAAAATGCAGTATCAACTTACAAGGCAAGGAAGCAAGGAATTAAGGTGGAAATAAATTGTAATTAGGTACGAAAAGAATAAGGTAGGAATGAAGTAGGAATTCAAATTACATTGTTTGGTAAGGAGGAATAGAATTATTGGGAATGGGAAGGGAAGGGAAGGAGTGGTAGACTAAAATGTTCTTCTGTAATAATAATAATACTAATAATAATTAGGGTTGGGGTTCAGCCATTTGGAAGAATAATACTAATAATAATCAAATGGTTAATCTTTTTCTTCCTTTTTCTATTTCCTTTCCCCATCGAATTGCAATTCATATGGGAAGGGTATGAATTGCAATTCAACAAAATAATGAGGGAATTACAATTCGGTGGAATTGCAATTCCCTCCAACCAAACACTGTAATTCGGGTGGCTAAAAAATTATGTTGTAACTGAATTGCAACTACATCCAACAAAACATCCCATTAATGTGTCTGCAATAATAAACTTATAGTACTAACTTAATGAACCTACATTAGTAATATTTAATGTAATTGTATATCCATATAAGTGTCATTTAAAATATTTTAGAGCTTTTCAATGATATATTTTTCATCCGTTAATTTTATTTGTACAACAAAAAATAAAAATAAATTTATGTTAAAAAAGAACTTAGGGAGAGAAATTATATTAGGGATTGTTTGATATCAATAGTTATGTTGTGGAAACGTGTTCATTATGCGCATGGTGAACATAGGGTTAGATCCATAATTTTTATACTGTAGATTCATAAATTTTTTTTTGAAAACGTAGATTCATAATTTTGTTTTTCATTTGTTGTTAACGGGATAGATCCATAATTTCTAAGCTGTAGATTCATAATTTCTATACTGTAGATTCATAACATGATTAACATCTATACTGTAGATTCATAATTTATATACTGTATATTCATAATTTCTGTACTGTAGATTCATAATTTCTATATTGTAGATTCATAATTTCTATACTGTAGATTCATAATTTTTATACTGTAGATTCATAATTTCTGTAATGTAGATTCATAATATCTGTAACAATAAATGAAAAACAAAATTATGAATCTACGTTTTCAAAAAAAAATATATATATAAATTATGAATCTACAGTATAGAAATTATGGATCTACCCCTGTGTTCACCATGTGCATGGTGAACACGTTTCCACAACATAATTTGCGGTTTGATATAGTTTGGGTTAACCTTACCCACCAAATGCAAAATTCTCTTACCCCAAGACTCTCACACCTCAACCCATTAGGTAAGAGGACCACTGGTGCCCACAAGGAGCTCACCACATTGAATGTAACTCCTACATTGCGGCTGCTAGGGCTCAACTCTATGTGCTTGCCCACAATATATCACCCATGAACCAATTGAGATAGTTTGGGTTAATCACTTAATCTTGTAAGTTGGACCGTGGTGTAGGATATAACAATTTGGTGTACTCTATAATAGTTATTGACCCAAAAATAGGATATCCAATTAAAAATGTTTACAATTCTTTTTTAAATAAATTAAATACTCCATCTGTCCATTTTATGTGTTTGATTTGGTTAATAAGACTACTTGATCTGAGGTTATTTACAATTAACTTTTTCATAATATTAAGTTTAGTATTAACATATAAAATTTATATATATAGAAATTACGTTAAAAATACGTACTATTAAATACCAAAAAAATTAAAAATTATAAGAAAATACTAAAAAATAAGTGAAGAAAAAAGAGTTTGTTTGACTAATAAATAACGAACATGACAAGTAAAATGTGATAGAAAAGAGTAATAAACAAGATAGAGTGATTCTTGCCTATTAATTTACAAAAAATTGGTAAATAGATTACTCATATACTTACAGAAACTCCAGATTTGCAAGGGAGTTTAGTTGAGGTGGAATTGGACCATCAAATGAATTACCAGATAGAGCCCTGTAGTGGAAACCACAAGTACATTTTAGACATAGTTCGATTTATTTATTCAAATAGCTAACAAATAACTCAAAAATTTATGTAATACCATCTTACGTGGCAAAATATCAAATATGTAAATAAAAATTAAATATTTTTCTATAAATCAACCGAGTATTATATTTTCAAGTTTGCTAAAAATTATTGTGTTTCCTTGACAAGTATTGGTAAAATCTAATACGTACTTTTTCATAAAAATGTAATAGTTGTTGATCCAAAAATAAGACATCAAATTAAAATTGAACATACTTTTTTCCAAACAAAATAAATAATAAACAAGAAAAAATGATTCTCGCTTGTTAATTAATAGGATTATTAAATAAATTACTCACATTCTTGCATATGCTTTAGATTTAGAAAGGAGCCCAGCTTGGTTATAATTGAATCACTAAATAAATTATCAAATAGATCCCAATAGTGAAAAAATCACAAAAGGAATTTCAAATGGAGTTTCATTTATATATTCAATAGTTAACAAATACCCAAATATATATATATATATATATATATATATATATATATATATATATATATATATATATATATTAATGTAATCATTTCACATGCGATGAGTCTCAAATATGTAATACTTATTGTTATGAAGTATTTTTTAAAGTTAATACTTTTCATTGAGCTAACAAGTACGGACTATTACGTTTTCTAATGCACTAAAAATATCACTTCTTTGAAAAGTAATAATGAAAAATGTTATAATTTTCTATAAAAATGTAATAGTTGTTGACCTATAAAGAGTATTAATAAACTGCTCATATACTTTACAAATACATTAAATATATACAAGAGAACTCCGTTGATTTGGAATTAAATCAATAAATAAATTATCAAATAGATCCTTGTAGTGAAAATTACAAGTGCATTTCAGATAGAGTTTCATTTATTTATTCAATCATCTATTAAAAATATTATATCACGTGAGATGAATCTCAAATATATAATTTCTTTTAAGAAAAATAAAATACTAGCTAATAAGTATTATATTTTCTAATTTACTGAAAAAATATTACTTTTTTTGAAAAGTATTAATGAAATGTAATATCTTTCTATGAAGAAGTAATATAACCATTGTTAACCTATCAAGAGGATATCAGATTGAAAATGCGCACAATTTTTAAAAAGAAATGAAATACTAAACAAGATACATAAATTATTATCTGCTAATTAACGAAGAAGTAATTCTTGCCTGTTAATTAACAAAATGAGTAAATAAATTTTGCATATACTTACAAATACCGTAGATTTACAAGGGAACTCAAGTGAGTAGGAAATGAACCACTGAATAAATTTTCAGATAGATACCTGTAATGGAAATCACAAATATATTTTAGACAAAAAATTTATAAGAAATCATCTTATGTGGGACACATCTCAAATATGTAACTTTTTAAAAAAAAAAAATGTAATACTTTTATGCGAGCTAACAAGCTTTACATTTTCTAATTTACTAAAAATTATTAGTTTTTCTATAAACGTATTGGTGAAATGTAATACTTTTTGACGGAAGATGTAATAGTTGTTGGCTAAAAAATAGGATATCAAATTGAAAATGTGCACATTTTGAAAAAGAAAATAAAAATTAAACAATAAACAAACTAATAGAATATGTAAATAAATTACTCATATACTTACAAATGTGTTAGACTTTTTAGGGAAGCCAACTGAGTTGGAATTAGACCGCCAAATGAGTTACTAGATAGATCCCTATAATGAAACCACAAGTGCATTTCAAACGGAGTTTCATTTATTTATTCAATTAACTAAGCTAAAAGATACTTAATAGAATATGTAAATAAATTTCTCATATACTTACAGATATGTTAGATTTTTTAGAGAAGTCAACTGAGTTGGAATTGGACCATCAAATGAGTTACTAGATAGATCCCTATAATGAAACCACAAGTGCATTTCAAACAGAGTTCCATTTATTTATTCAATTAACTAAGCTAAAAGATACTTAATAGAATATGTAAATAAATTACTCATACACTTACATATATGTTAGATTTTTTAGGGTAGCCAGCCTGAGTTGGAATTGGACCGCCAAATGTATTAAAATGCATATTACGTAATTTATTCAAAAAAGATTTAACATTAACATGATTTTATTATTTATTTCTAATGTTAATTTCATTTAAAACGTTAATTGTTTAAAAGTTACATACCAGAATAAGTTGAAATATTAAAAATTTCACTATACATTATTAATTTTATCAACATAAATTACAAATATTTGTACATATATATTAATTTATTCTTAATTTTATGAAATTTTTTAGCAGAAATAAAATTTTCTACAGATCTTATTTTGAAATGTTCTTTAATTAATGTTTGCACTTTGCAAATAAATTGACAAAATGAATATTTTGTAAAGTGGGAATAAGTAATATAATCTTATTTATGAAATAGCTCAAGAGTTGATCAAGTCCTTCAAAAGTATTATAATTGTATACTTTGGTATTAATAAAATAAGATATGAATTGACATTCCACATCATCAATTAGATTGATATGGCAATGATGGATCGTTATGCTGTGCATCCGTATGCACAATATAATGTTGTTGCTGGGAATCGAAACCGATTTTTTTTTAAGTGAGACGCACGTTTTTAATAAAACGACGTCGTTTTTGCATCCGTATGCACCATGCATGGTGCATACGGATGCACATAATAATTTGCCGGCAATTATAAGGTCAACGCCACATAAGCAAAACTAACATTCAATTTTACACTTATTGTACAGTCAATAAGTACATGGATCTCATAGATATTTTGACCAATATATTTTTTAACAAAAATTTAGTAATTTAATTTTTTATAATCAAGAAGTATTAATTTTGTACTTTACTACTAAAAAAGTATTATTATTTTTCCCACGAGAAGCAATAATTGTTAACCCAATTAAAAATAAGATATCAAATTGAAGATGTGCATTATTATTAAAAATGAATTAAATAATAAACAGCATAAAGTGATTTTTGCCTCTCAATTAACAAATTGAGTATACTTACAGAGACTCTAGATTTACAAGGGAACCCAAGTGATTAAGAATTGAACCACTGAATGAATTTGAAGATAGATCCCTGTAGTGAAAATCACAAGTACATTTTAGACAAAATTTTATTTATTTATTTAATTAGCTAGTAAATAACACAAAATTTTATGAGAAACTGTTTTATGTGAAATATGTGATAATATATATATATATATATATATATATATATATATATATATATATATATATATATAATACTTTTATATGGGCTAACAAGTTTTACATTTTTCAATTTACTAAAAATATATTATATTTTCTTTAAAATACATTAGTGAAATGTAATATGTTTTTGGCAAAGATGTAATAGTTGTTGGCCCAAAAATAAGATATTAGATTGAAAATGTGTTCATTTTTTTTTTTAATTTTAAAAAAGAAAGTAAACAATAAACAAGATGGAATGATTCTCGCCTGTTAATTAACCAAATATGTAAATGAATTACTCATATACTTACAGATACGTTAGATTTACAAGAGAACTCAATTGAGCTGGAATTTCACCAACAAATGAATTACCAGATAGATCCCTAGTGTGAAAACCACAAGTGCATATCAGAAAACGCAATATATACTCGTAACATTTAAAAACTTCATAATCATATTTAAAAAGAATCATGCAGATAATTTTACAAATTTTATTTTATTAAATATGAAATAGATAATAATTTTATATCAAATGACTTAATATTATTTTATCAAAATTTTCTATTTATTGGTCAAACTAACTATTCATTTGTCACATTTTATCTATTATATTTACAAGGGAAAATGTCACTTTTTCCCCCTATGTTATATACTTATAGCACTTTTTCCCCCTCAATTATTTAAGTGGCTCTTTTTCCCCCTGAAATGTTAAATGGACATATTTACTCTTAAAATAAATATTTCATTTATTTTTATTCTCCAATAAATTATTACTATAATTTGGTTCAAACCAGATACTATGGTAACCAAACCAAAATATTCCAATTACATTAATCAAAACGCGATATTTAGAGTTTATTAAAATCGCGAACTGGAATGGCCGGTTCATGTTCCAAACTGAAAAAATAAAATACATTTATTGTTGAATTTAAACTATTTTAAAATAAAAAATAAAATTTTAAAATAAAGACGGTTCAAAATCGCGAACGGGATCCGGAACCGCCGGTTCATGATCCAGTTTTTTTTTTTTTTTTTTATTCTTAAATTTAATAAATTGAAATCCAAATATTGGGTTCTAAATCTGAATCATAACTGAAAACTTTTAATTCGATTGCTATAGTGTCTGGTTCAGTTCGAACCGAACCGTGGTAATCGCTACATATACGCAATAATTTGTTGGAGAAGTAAAATAAATAAAATGTTTACTTTAAGGGTAGAAATGTCAATTTAATATATTAGGGGAGAAAACCACCACTTTTAAAATAATTGAGGGGGCTAATGTGCTTACATAAATAATTGAGGGGGAAAAAGTGCTATAAGTATATAACATAGGGGGAAAAAGTGTCATTTTCCCTATTTACAAATTTTATTTTACTAAATATTAAATGTATAACTTTATATTTAATATTATATAGATAATAACCATATCTCCGGTGAAGCTTGAATTCATAACATCCCATATGGAAAAACAACTTGGTGCCACTATACCACAACGTCCTTAGTTGTGAACTTAGAAAATTATTAAAAGTACTAGTTTTTGAGTTAAGCTGTCAATACAAATTGATGCCTTTTTCAATTTAAGGATAATATAATTATTGAATGTTCTTAAATAATTTGAAAGTTTATTTGACCATTATTCTCTTAATTTTAAAAATGATAAAAATAAGTGATATTAATCAATGAAATGCTACACAAGCTTTACAAAATCTTCATTTATTTGTATGGATATAAAATTGAATGTTCTCAAAAGAAAAATTACTACAAGCATAGGTAAAATCTATAAAATTTTATTTCATAAAATAAAAAATAACCAAATCACAGAGGAATTTAACATTTTTTTTTCTTCCATGTTTACACCCTATTCAGCAAACCAAGCACAATTTCACTTTTTTTTTTCTTTTGCATTCCTTATTTATTTATTTATTTATTATTATTATTTTTTTTTGTGACGAGGAAAACCTGTATCCACTACCCCAGGATATACACTAGATAAATTCTGTCTTATGGCCCTAAACAGTAAAGGATTACAAGGATGTAAACCAACTAGGTTGTCCATAACTGATCGACTCAAAGTAAGAAGATCGATAAATTGTTTCCAACGAGAGTAATAAAATATTTTCTTCTACATATCAAGGGGAGTGTAGTGTTGACTTACAAGAATTCCAACTTCATATTACCAATAAACCGGGGTATTGATCCTTCCAATTCGTTGCCTTCAAGATCCCTATAAATTATAGAAGAGAATACCATAATTTAAAAAAAAAAATGTTTATACTCATCATTCATTATCGTGTCAAGCATCATTTTTTTTTTAATAAAAATAGATGAATATTATTTTGATTTTAAAGTACTTACAAATGCAAGAGATTCTTTAAATTTGCATACGACATTGGAATCTCGCCAGAAAACTTGTTTCCATACAATGTTCTATTACAAATACACCATAGAAAACTCAATACATGCATAACTTAACTATTTTGTAATAATGATCAGGAATGAAATGTAATATAATAACAGTGCATATTATTTTGTGCAGGATACTTACATTGAGGTTAAATTTGTAAGGTTTCCGATTTTTTCTGGCAATTCACCTTCCAAACTCCGATAATTAGTAAAACGACTACAACAAATTTGCAAGGAAAATCAATAGTAATCTAAGATTTAGCTGATAATTGGATTAAATAGCTAATTGGATCAATACAAAGTTAGGAACAACAATGGTAACACATTGAAGTATATGATAAGAAAACTAGTTGTTTTAAAGATAAAATATCTTATGTATCATGAGTGTATGTGTTTATACACCATTATATATTGAATCGCAGCTCACCATGCCATGGTAAAATTAAATATTTAAAGGAATTTTTTCCCAAAAAATATAAATAGTAATAATCCATCTAAGCTATATATTTTTTGTCTTATGTTATATGTCTGGTTCAATTAATGAAACTTGACTACAATTAATTAGAAAACATTATAAGATAATGCGGAGTTCAAGTGTTCATTGTTTATAGTTTTGGAAAGAATTATAATTTTTTTTAGTAATATATTGATAATACTAAATTTTTATTTTTTGAAAATTGTTGTATATATTTGCGTCTAATGAAATATATTTACAAAATGTTTTTGGAAATATTTGTCATAAAAGGTATATTATTATAGTAAACTTATATGTATATAATCAATATAATAATATGTTTATATTAATAAATCACTTTTAAATAATAAAAAAATATTTTTAAACTACAACACCATCACCATCACCACCACCACCACCACCACTAATAATAATAATAATAACAACAACAACAATAATAATAATAGTAATAATAAATAAATAAATAATAATAATAATAATAATAATAATAATAATAATAATAATAATAATAATAATAATAATAATAATAATAGTTTTGTCACTTATCATGTAATATCTCATAATAAAGTTATTATATTATAGTGAATCTCTTTTATTTATTTATTTATTTAACTTAGGTGATCTCAATTTCGTCGGACTAATCCGGCCTAATTCTATAGGATCCCGTCCCTAGAGCCATTACGGAGGAAAATCGCAAGTAGTCCACCGGTACATCCCATACATGTACATGTTTTTAGTGGGATTCGAAACTCCACACTACCACATTCAGTTATGACCTTTATGTCAGGCGACAAACCAACTACGCTAAACCCAGGGCAAACTTATGATTTTAAATGAATCTCTTTTATTCACAGCAAACAAGGAGGCTAACATATTCACTGAATCTCTTTTAATCACTACACTCAACTGATTAACAAATGCTAGACTTTTACTCACTGCACACAAACTAAGGACGGAACCTCTCATTTTAAGAGGTTGCTCCCATGGTGATGCTAGTGAAACTCGATTCTTAACCCGTTGTGACAAATTTCACCTACCCATGTGGACAGTTAAAGATAATAATCAAAATGTCAGTAGATAGCTACTTTGATTTTTAGTTATTACGTCTAAAATTTGTAATTAGTGAATCAACAACTTGACTAATCTGAGTGGGAGGACTATCTTCTCATTTTGCTAACCACAAGAATTATTTGAAATATTAAAATAAAATGAATATATATATATTATATATATATATATTACATTTCCGTCACGCGACAAACGTTCATATCGAGACTGCAGTCGCAAGTAACGGTATCTGAACTTGAAACCTCACAAATCGAGCTTTCATTTCTGATGCTGCCATAAGTCATCGTCTGTGAACATCCAAGCAACTCAATGATGGCATCCTCTGGCATATGTGAGAGAGAAACAAAAAAAAAAAAAAAAAAAAAAGAAAAGTAAAATTAAATAAAAATCAATACATATATAACAGTTTTAGTTTATTATTTATTACTGGTATCGATCAAATAATTTCTCAATACTTCAAACCCACAATGTCTACAGTCCATATGACATGCTAAAAATATATTCCAAAATATATGACATGTTGAAAAATAAAAAATAAAAAAACTCAGAATATTATATTGGTGTGTGTAATTTAAAGAAAAAGAATATTTATGGGCACTTAATTACCATCTTCATCGCCAAGAGGTTTGACTTGGTTGTCACCAAGGTTGAGTATCTGAGTGCAGACTTTTTTAATACGTCCTGTTGTTGTTGTTACAGTTCCTTCTCCCATGGTTAGTTGAGAGTTGAGAGAGAAGAGCAGCAATAATAATATCATCTTTTCCATCTCTCAATAATTGAGTTTATTCAATTCTCTGATTTGTTTGATATCTCTTGAGTCCACAGCTAGCCTATCCCCTCCTATTTATATTGCTTAAACAGGTTGGCAAAAAGAAGCATGCCACATTTAATTAAAACTTGAATTGGTTTATATTTTATTTGCACAATTAAATTATTAGGACAAACAGTGTACTCAAGTTAAAATTCTAACTCTACTGCAAAAACTGAATCAAGAGTGACTCTTTAACCCAACATAAGATCTTGTGGGACCGATGTCGGATTATACATTGCTCACTACCACTTGAAAATTAAAGCTAATTAACGACCATGGCACCTCACTCTAAACTCTTATCAACACTAGTAGGTAGCTATTTTTTTTTTTTTTTCTTTGGACAACTTCACTACAAACTTTACCAAAGACCAAATAGTCGTTACTTAAGTCCCCCCCCCCCTCCACTAAACTAGTATCAGTCGAGCGGACGATTCTCACTCTTGATGATTTTCGATCACTTTGGATATATTCTTCTTGGTTTCCATTGAAGTTTGAACCTTATCAAATACGGAGAAACCCTCTTCCAGGTAGTCTTTCTTGTCGCGCACCATCCTCTCAATAAGAGCACATAATGATAGATAAAATATATGCTCAAGCTAAGACCCTAACTTCATCAGAAAAGGTAGTTTAACAAGTGGATGCTTAACAAGTGGATGCTTGACCCAAACTTAAATATCACTTTATAATTTTATGTTGAGATATCAAATTATATCATATTATTTTTAATTTATTCAAGAAAATTTTAATGTGTCATATGTATAGTAGTAGTATAGTGATAATCATATATTACAATTTCACTAGACGTACAAGTATACAACACAAATAGAAATTCCTTTTATTTAAAGAGTAATGTATACTAAATGCATATATATTTTTGTACACAGTATGTTAGCATCGGATGAGCGGAGGATTCTTATTCTATATAGACTTCACTTTGGATTTGTCTTGGTCATCCCCTTACCAAATATGGGAAACCTTTTTCCATGCTGTCTTTATTGTCACGCATCACACTCTCAACAAGAACACGTATTGATAAATTAGACACACATTAATACTCTAACTCCATCGCAAAAGATAGTTTAACTGTACATTAAATGCTTGACCTTGAACTTTAATACCACATCATAATCTCTAGTGAAGTCAATGTTAAGTCATATCATATTATTTTTTAATTTATTCAAGAAAATTTTAATGTGTCATATGTAGTACGGAGTTGTATAGTGATAATTATGCACACATATTTTTGTTCAAAGTGTGCTTTGCACATGCTGATACAACCCTGTACAACTTTTTAGACTTATTTCACACTAATCTATTCAAACTAAAACAATTATGTTTGCATTACATTATTTCATTTTTAGTAGTGTATACTTTTTTCAATTCAAAAGTTATCAAAGTAGTGCTTTTAGAGTTTTAGTGGTATGGCGGCCCAACTGAGAGATTCCTGATTAGATTAAAAGCAATATTTGATGCCCCCTCTATCATATTTTAGTTGTACTATATATATATATATATATATATATATATATATATATATATATATATATAAAATAATAATAATAATAATCTATCATACAAATTTTCATATCAATGCATACTTCAAAATTAAAATTCCGAACTTAACGGGACGTTTACTTGGAGGGAGGGAATTAAGTGAGCAAAGAATTGTAATTCCATAGGAGATAAATGATGTGAGAAAAAAGTGATAATTTAAATTCCAGGTTTGCAAAAATATAATTAGTGGAAATTTCAATTACAATATTTGGTATACATGGTAATTGAAAGGGAATAAGTAGTATAAGTAGTTATTATTATTATTATTATTATTATTATTATTATTATTATTATTATTATTATTATTATTATTATTATTATTATTATTATTATTATTATTATTATTATTATTATTATTATTATTATTATTATTATTATTATTATTATTATTATTATTATTATTATTATTATTATTATTATTATTATTATTATTATTATTATTATTATTATTATTATTATTATTATTATTATTATTATTATTATTATTATTATTATTATTATTATTATTATTATTATTATTATTATTATTATTATTATTATTATTATTATTATTATTATTATTATTATTATTATTATTATTATTATTATTATTATTATTATTATTATTATTATTATTATTATTATTATTATTATTATTATTATTATTATTATTATTATTATTATTATTATTATTATTATTATTATATTATTATTATTATTATTATTATTATTATTATTATTATTATTATTATTATTATTATTATTATTATTATTATTATTATTATTATTATTATTATTATTATTATTATTATTATTTATTATTATTATTATTATTATTATTATTATTATTATTATTATTATTATTATTATTATTATTATTATTATTATTATTATTATTATTATTATTATTATTATTATTATTATTATTATTATTATTATTATTATTATTATTATTATTATTATTATTATTATTATTATTATTATTATTTATTATTATTATTATTATTATTATTATTTATTATTATTATTATTATTATTATTATTATTTATTATTATTATTATTATTATTATTATTATTATTATTATTATTATTATTATTATTATTATTATATTATTATTATATATTATTATTATTTTTTTTTTTTTTTTTTTTATTATTATTATTATTTATTATTATTATTATTTTTTTTATTATTATTATTATTATTATTATTATTATTATTATTATTATTTATTATTATTATTATTATTATTATTATTATTATTATTATTATTATTATTATTATTATTATTATTATTATTATTATTATTATTATTATTTATTATTATTATTATTATTATTATTATTATTATTATTATTATTATTATTATTATTATTATTATTATTATTATTATTATTATTATTATTATTATTATTATTCCTAAATTACCAAATTCAAATTTGTTGCTTTTGAAAATTTCTGTAACATGCATGCTTTAAATAAACTATAGAATTGCATAACAAAAACAATAAAATAGATAAGAGAGTTTTGAGATAACATATTTGTTTGAGGTTGATCTACTAATGACGTTCTGTGTAATTCCTTCCAACCAAACGCCACCCACGAGTTTTTTTTGAACGCTACTGAGGCTCGATCTCATGACCTCCCACATGGGAGAGGTCACCAGTGGCAGACCCAGTGTGGGGGTAGTGGGGGCAGCTGCCCCCACTCCCCCACCCCACCCCTTTATATATATGTATGTATATGTACACATATATAACATGAAATATTATATAAACTTAATATTTATGTTGAAAATGCCAATAGCTTGAGTAGCTTAGTTGGTTGAACTCTAAATTTTATGTTATAAAAGGCTTATGTCATGGGTTCAAATCTCATTAGCACCACTTTTAATTATCTTCTCTCTTTCATTTCTTCACAAGATAAATTAAATATTTTTAGTCTACTTTTTATGAATCATTTAATTAACAAATTGAATGCTCTTTTAGTCTAGTTTTTATAAGTCATTTAATTAATGTAGTATAAAAATTTATAATATACTTTGTATTCGAATTAATTTAGAAAAATCGATCTAACTAAAAAAAAATTAAAATTAAAAAGTATTTATGAATATATTGTTATTCAAATTATTTTATCTAATTGATTATGTTTCATATTTTCTTATAAATATATTGTAATTTATAATGTATTTTGTATTTTAACCTTATTATGGTTGTTTGATATTTTGTTATTGACATTTCTAATATCATTTAATATTCGCCCCCACTGAGATAATTTTCTAAGTCCGTCACTGGAGGTCACTACATGCTAATTGAACACAAGGTGCTTTGCCGCCACATAAGAGTTAAGAGATGCAATCATTGATGTTTTTTTTTATTAGGAAATGCACATATACATATACATATACATAGCTTTTCTTCAATTTTCTTTGTTCCACGTTAATCATGTTATCCCACATTTTGTAACCTTTTTGGCCTTCAATTTGTTAACTCACTTTTTATCCTTTTTTTTTTGTTTTTTTTTGTTTTTTTTTTTTTTTTGTTTTTTCCACACACTATATACTTGCTTTTGTACTCTTTTTATTTTATTTTATTTTTTTAATTAATTAAGGCACTTTCAAAGGAACTCTCTTAACAAAATGTGAACAATATAACTTAATGAGTTAATTTCATTTTTTGTCTTAAATTTATAGATGACAGTCTCCTTCCACGCTAATCATGCTATCTCACATTTTGTAACCTTTTTTGTCCTTCAATTTGTTAACTCACTTTTTATCTTTTTTATTTTTTATTATTTTTTTGTTTTTTTCCACACACTATATACTTGCTTTTGTATAGTACTCTTTTTATTTTATTATTTTTAATCAAGTAAGGCACTTTCAAGGGAACTCTCTTAGCAAAACGAGAACAATATAACTTAATGAGTTAATTTCACTTTTTGTCTTAAATTTATAGGTGACAATTTACTTTTAATCTTTTTTTAGAACATCTCCTTTGGTCTTAGTATTATTGTGGCATGACTGTTTTTGGTCATCCGTCAACAAAATTGTTAAAATGTATTAATGTCATCAAATACATAGATATTTTCATCTTTTTTCACACAAACTTGTATCACTCAAACATATTTAATAGCTCCCAAAATTTACTTAACCATGCAACGTTAATCTTCATAAGCTCACATCTAAAAAAAACTTCATAAAAATAAAAGTACACAACTTTGTTAAACATAATAAAATGTTAAGTTTTTTAAATGCTTATATTCAAAAAATATCATAGAACGGTAATTTTGCTTCAAGGGTATCTTTTTTTTTTTTTTTTTTTTTTTTTTTTTTTTGTACTATTAGAAAAGAGAAGTGTAATTTTGTCTTAATGGTATCTTTTTTTCTTCCCTAGGTCACCAATGCCGAATTGAAATACCTAAGGGGGTGCATGGGATTATAATTTCATGAAAATTAGGGAATTACAATTAAGGGGT